ATGCGCATAAGCGTATTGCACACGGAGTGGCAGGTCCCTACGGCGTGGGAAGTTGGGAGGGATTCGCTGTGGTAACATCAGCAAGCTGGTTGCCTGTACCCGACTAATTGGAAAAGGTAAATTTATCTGTCCATCCAATCATTCTGTTCATGAGGTGGTGGGAGTGATGATTGCTGCAAAGTCCTTGCAGCTATATTCACAAAACGTTTTCTCGCCTCTTATTCAGCCATCCGTCTGACATCAAACAGTCAGAGCTTCTGCAGTTGCCTCTTGCCAGTAGGATGAAACAACTAGCGCTTAATGGATAAAAGTGGCGTGTAAATGAGCCCATGATAGACATCTCCATCGCTTGACATTTTTGAAGTGACACTGCCAGTTCGTAAATACACCTACTAATTGGATGCCACAGGTGTTGCGGTGGTTATGGCCTTATGTAGATAGTTATGAGCGATGCTTTTCTACTCCTACTATTGGTCATACTGTCATTTGATTTTGCCTTTGTGTAATAACAGCAAAAATATCAGGCCTATTCGGAAAGACTGAGGTGTCCTCACTTCACCTTTAGGTGGGCAAAAATTCTCCAAGGGATGGCACTCTATCTCAAGACGGGGTAATCCAGGTACCGGTAAAGTATGACAAAGTATGTCGGCTTTCTCAACTCCGGATGTTTTACGAATACTGTTTGGTAGAAGGAATCGACCGAGCATTTCATTCTAACTATCGCTAAGTTGAAAGCTATGCAAGTGGTTCCGTCAATATATAGCTTCTTGCTAAAATGACAGCAAAGCTCACAGAACACGGAATCGTCGTCAGATAGTTTCATGTTGCTATATTAGGAATTGTCATGTAGTAAACTTGATAGGTGCAAAGACCAATCACGAATTATTCCGACTTGTTATATACCAACGAACATAAGACCGAGAAAGAACACAACAGTGTCGTCGGATGGAACGGTGTTTTCGCAAGGTCGTGCCAGATACCGATACGTTCCAACTGACTGGCTAGAGGGTCGATTACGAGCAGTGCAACGTAACGCCACAACGTTCTGAATGGCCAGGATGTTTGACCGACTGCCCTCAGCTTAACGTGTCCGGTAAAACTATCAAGGTCAGCGCCAATGTTGAATCTCGTCGAACCCCAGGGCTATTTATTCTGGTGAAGTGTGTAACGCCACACTATCCACCATTTGTCATCGATGGTGACTAACGTGTAAGTCGTGGTGGTTGAGCAGATCCGCATCAACGATAAGCATGAAAACAACAGGTAGCAGAAAAATTCAGTGAAGTGTTTCATTTTGTTGAGACAGTTATGCGACTTTTAAAACGTTGCCGTTGGTTTTCCACCAACCACTCGCAGGTTAAAAGATGAATAATAACAACATTCATTTGTGGTTGCTGAAAGAACGCTTACTTTCGTGCCATTGTCCGGGAGGTAGCGAACTTTCGACTTCACGTTAGTGATGAACAACAACGTCTGTTTTTCGCAGCTACGGCTACAGTTAACGCTTGCCAGCAAGTCGGTTTCTTGATCTCGTGCAATCCTTGTTAAAAACTCAAGGTTTCTGAGAGCTTCTCTCTTATTCACCACAGGTGTCATGGAACCAACAGCATTGAGTGTTTTCGATTCTACGAGGTGTATCTGTTGACCGGCCACAGAAAATGATGTGGGGAGCTGGTACATAGTGTTGCTGTAGTGTATGCCTCTACCTTGGCGTCCTAGTTTCCAGGGTCTGTCTAACAATTCTTACAGCTCATTTATTTCTGAATTCGAATACTTAGGTCTTTCATTACCAGCATGCACACCGAAGATGGTTAATTAGAGATCTCCAGCATGTTACCAGCCAGACCCCCAGATCATCGATGATAACCAACTGAGGTGTCATCAGCACGGTTTTCACCGGCTGCTGTAGTTTTAAGAGAAACAGTTCACGGAAAAGGCCACCTTTGCATTCTTGCAAGCAAATAAGTCTCTACATCGTTCGATGCCATGAGGCGAACACACTTAAGTGTTGAAGATCCGTAAGAACGTTCCGCTCCAGAGCAGCCAATTTGGACAGTGCATAAGGGTCGCTTACATCACAGTTGAAAATACGTGCAGTGATGTGTCTTTTTAACTCCAGCAGTAGCAATCGAATGACGGAAAGAAAATGAAAACTTTGATCTATGACACCCTGTTCTCGCTAACTTCAGCTGACAGGAACCATGATCGTGCATTGTCCCAGGAGAATGGAGCGAGCTGAAACAGGTGCGTTGTCAGTTCAATACGGATAAATTCGGGAGAGAGGCACATGACTAGTTCGCATTTTCATAATTCCCAAAAATGTGAGATGAAGAGAACACAGTGAGGTGGTCACATAGGAATAGGATATTTGACAGCAGATTTAAAATACCAATAAGCTTTGACTAAGGGATTAGAGGATAACGTACAATCAACTCGCCGTAACCCAACAAGTAGCGTTGGTGCTTGACCGTTTGCCTTCAGGTCAATGATTTTGTTAAAACTATGAAGGTCAGCATTAACGCTAAGCCTGATCAAACGCTGAGCTATTGGTTTCCCGGAATTATTTGCCGCTACGCAGCCATGAAAGAGAACAAGATCCAAGTACTGCACATATGCTAAGTAATCCAGTTTTCTCGGCTAAAACGTATGCTATAACAGATTCAAATACAGCCTGACAAATGAAACAAGCAGTAAACTTTGAAGCCTATTTCCATTTAAAAGCACAAATCCTATCATATAGCAGGGAAAGAGGTCTTGAGTAGCATGAAGATAGATGAATTTTTGAGTAGCTCAAAATTACAAAAACATATCAACCAACAGCAAGGCATCCCGTTAGCTGAGGGTTGTGATGTGGAGCTAGATGAACTAAAGATTTTGTCACAGTTTTCAAAAAATAAACTACTCTCAGAACCACTGGCCACAATGCTGAAGAACACTGACCGTATAGAATAGGATTAACACGTCCACTGATGCTTTTCATAAGCTGTAAACATATCCATTGGAAGTAAGTTAACTATGAAGAGTATGAACGACCTATTCTATCAATAATCCAGTCAACACTTATGCGGGCAAAACAAGGGAGCATATTGGAGACTGTAATTAAACTCGGGGCAAAAGGCACGATTTCGCAACATTTCCCCGGGTTTTTTCTCCACCACATTTTTATTTCATGGTCCAGAGTTCTGCCACGCTTTTCCTCCCCTGCGTTTTCACTCGTGTTCGAAAAGCACCCCCACGAAAATGTTGACTGGGAATGCTCAAAGTCCACATCCTAAAAATCCGGAAAAAAAACAACAGACCAACAGGTTTGCCGTTATAGAGAGGATGATCGGCTACGACGGCTTCTATTCAAGTTGGGATAGCAAGGGTGTCTATCCTTGCAACTGTGATTTAATTGTTTAAATCAAACCTACCATTATACTCTAGGAATCAACTATTCTGGTACGTATACAGATAGGAGTTGCAAGAAAATTCCTTTGGGTTGACCTACTCAACCCACCTTTCCATACTTAAAGCATCAGCATGGTCAACTGGACATCCATAGGAAACAAATTGCTGCTGTTACACCAAACCCGGCAAGCAATACAAACTCGCTTCCGGATGCTCATCATGAAGTAGATGTTGACACTGTGAAAATAACTGCTTCCTGTCCTACCATTATCCGAGATACCTCCCTCAATTGATTGTTGAAAACCAAGGGAACAAGTGTTTCAGCCAGCGTATCTCGATAGATCATCATGATATACAAGTTCAACCACCACAATATTGAAACCTTCAATTGGGCACAAAACATTTACAGAAGTCTTTTTATCTGGACAGATGAGTTGTCAGTTTTCAGGGGAAAACTATTTTCCTAGGTAACCAAACTCAACATATATTGTCTTCAAGTAACTGTTTTTCGAGTTGGCTTCAAAGTTTCGGAATCAATCCTTATAGAAACAGTAACAAACCTTCAAACCATTTAAAATCTAAACTCTCCAGAGCACTAAAAAGTTGACAACCAGCTCTTAAATGATACTTGAAAGTAATAATTAATTACCCAGCCATAAAACTGTGTAGTCTATGAAAGCAAACATGAGTGTTTACCAACCTTAGAATTCAGTGGAGGAAGCTGAGGTAAGGGCAATGCACGGTGAGTTGACACAGAACCAGTAACACCTGAACTGGGTATTCACCATAGACTGACATCAGTTGGGGAATATCGAAAATCTTGGGGCACCCGACAGCTGTTTCATCCTAGTATGGGACCCGTGGCCCGTCACCCGAGATGGAATCGAGGACTTTCAGGTTGCATCGCCAGCACGTTACCATTGAGTTACTAGGTCGGAACCCAATAGTCAATATCTTCAACTTCGGTTAGTTTACGATGTAAAGCGACCATCACCTGTCACCACCCCGCCGGTCACGACTTCTCACTAAAACTTCACAAATCACCTAGCAAAGTTAATCAACAATGAGCACTAGATTAATTCATTTTGAAGGTTTGTGGGGATTTATTGATTTCAAGTTGGTATTCATCGTAGTGCAATATTGGAAATTTAGGAGCACTGAACAATAGTTTCGTCATTGTATAGGACTTATCAGCAGTACGCACTTCCAACTGATGTCAATAAAAATCTCGTTATTTTGAATGAGATCAGAAATCAATCATCTTATAAGTATATGTTAAAAGACTGAATTGTTTTCTTCGATGAACATTCACCCCCTATGAACTATTTAGTTGTTAAACAGGCAGATACTGAGCCATATCTATTGTGTGTGTATGAGAGGGAGGGGTCAATAACACCATCTGACTCCTTATATCTCCGTAGATGAAGCAAGTTTTGAACCTGTTACCTATCACTTGAAAATCAAGTCCCTAAACCAATAAATCAAACAGTTCAACATTGTAACAAAGCTCTCCATCCAGAATTCTAAGAAGTTGAAGTATGCTTAGAAAAATATTAACATTCACCAAAATAGGAAACATCTATACCTATAAATAATTGAAGATAAATAATCTAATTCAAATCTATGACAAGATTTAATTCTTCTTCTATATAATCTGGAGATTTCATTATTTGCAGTAATGATTGACTTGAAAAATTACTATTATTTGGGCTTATTAAAGTCTGTTCCACCAATACAGATTGACTTAAATCATCATCATGATTATTTATAATTGTTGTATCATAATTGATTGAATCCTTTAACAAAGATGTAGTTGATGAAGATATAATACTGAATGGTTGATTTATACAATAAGGACTTTTATTCGACGATGGTATAGTATGGATAGCTGCTTTCAATGCATTCTTTAATATATAATTTGTTGCTAGAAATAAAAGAGGAATAGTATCAATTATAAACTATTTTTAAGGACAAAAAGTGGAAATTCAATAGTAATGATAATTGAATAAACCGAAAATATAGATAAATAAATAAATTCCCATGAAATTCAGACTATAACTAACAAACTCAACGTAGAACCTCACACACACTTCCCTGTAGTAAACAAAGAATAGGTGGATAGTAAAGTTGTGTATTTCATGAGTGCATACTGCTGAAGAGTGCTATCCTAGGATGAAACAGCTGTCCAGTGCTTTCAGGCGATGGTTTTTTTTTCTCACGCAGACTCGAACCAAGTACTTATCGCTTGAAACCCTAAAGCGTTGTAATTTCTCATAGATATACTGGGTCGAATTGCTCGATTTCTGAGCTTCTATGTAAATGTTTTAATGTTGATTAAATATGCAGATGAGGTAGATAATACATTACCGTTAGAATCGATGAGTTCAGGGTTCGAGTTTCAACGGGAACACCATTACTCAATGGGGTCCAGATACATTCACCTAACGAGTCTCAATTAGGATAAAACACACGTCCTGAATTCCACTGCTACCTATCACACCAAGCAAATTATAACACAGTGAATATTTAGACAGTATCATCACATCCAGATAGGAGTCTGTCTGCCAACAAAGGTTGTCAATGGATCGACCAAGTATGGCAATCTCATCGATTTTGAAAAGGCTTTCGATAGTGTCGATCGACAAGTAATTTGGCAGCTGGTTCAACACTGCGGTTTTACTGCCACAAACCTTTATCAACCTCATCCAACAGCTGTATGAAGACTCCGCATGCCAAGTGATCCCTTTGAAGTGAAATGAAGACAGGAGTAAGATAAGGATGTCGCCTACCATCACCGATCATCTTCCTGATTGTGGTCAACTGGATTGGATCATGCAACAAACTGTGAGCAGCGAAAAGATGAGCATATGCTGTTTGACAGACGAAAAGACCCCGCAAGAAGATTTGGATTTCGCCGACTATTTATGTCTAATGTAGCACAAACTCGAAGATCTACAGGCAAAAACCAACAAGTTGGCAGATGAAGTGAGGCAGCGAAGATGGGACTTTCTTCAGGTGAACGTAGAGAAGACAGAGGTGGTGAAGATACCCAACCAACAATGACAAGCACTAATCACCATCAACACTAACGTCAAGTCGGTGCTTCTGTGATGGTTGAGAGAATTGGTGCGTCACAAAAAGCGTTTCCAACAAACTACACACATTCATTAACAGCTGCTTACGCTCACTCATTACTGAAGATCAGATAAGAAGGCCAAGAAGAATAAGCGACAACGAACTCTGGGAACGAACCAACCGACCAACAACCCATTGCACAACAAATTTGCAGAAGAAAGTGGAGATGGATTGGATTAGACATACACTGAAAAGAACATCTGGGGACATTACGCGCCAGGCCCTCAAGTAGAACCCAAAGGGAAACGACGAGTTGGGCATTCGAGGGTTACATGAAAGAGATCATGTGAGGAAGAAATGAAAGCTTCTAAGCAGTCGTGATACCAGGTTGATAAGACTGCAGAGAAGGGAGTGAAATGGCGACTTGCTAACAAAGCCCTATGTTCTACTAGAAATCCAAGGGACAAATAATCATAAAAAATAATAAATGAGAGACTGTTCTGGTTGTCTTAGATACCAAATCTTCTATGATGCTTACTGCTCTTGTGTAACATTTATGGATGACACACCTCCTAGCAGCACATCATATGAGAATCCACTATGAAGATGTATATACGCTACTGAAATTGATTCTGAGCTATATCATCATGTCTCCAAAACAAGGAAGTTTAACTGGATCTAGAAGATTCAGTTAGGTACCCCTTTAACTGCCTGAACCTACACATTAATTATGTATGAAGATTGATAAAGGTAAATAGCCTTATCGATTGACTTTTCTCTTCTTCCTAAAATATACTTGACGTAGTGACACTACGAAACATAGCTTATGTTAAAAAGGCTACGGTAGTCGAAAACATGAAGCTATAGAGTAGAACAAAAAGAACTATAGCGTGATACACTCGACTCTGAATAGACAATCAGGTATTACGTCAGCATCATAGGATAAAACTAAAGATGGCCCTTTGGATCCTCTCTCAGGTTTTGTTAATCAATGACCCATCACAGCTGATTTGACTTCCCAAGTAAACAAAGTAGTCAATACGTCCAGCTATTTTACTCCTTACCATTACACAACGTATCAATACAGATCAGTACTGAAGCAACAATATGCTTCTAAGTGACAAGAAACGCTTCTCAAATATTCTTAAATTACCATTCAACGTATACAAAAAACATTACATCCTGTTAGTGTATCTTCATCTAACAGAATCATATTATCTGTATACTATAGGTGAGAATGAAGAAAGTGGATATCCTCGACAGGCAACACTCATCACAGGCTGTAAAACATCCATGGGTGTTCTAATATAGAGCCTTGAACTAAATGACATAATTACTAGGCATCTCTTTCAGTGAGATATTGTCAATAATAATTAACGGGTCACTAAATGAATGACAGTGTATCGAAAACCTGGAACCAACCAAGTCAAATATCAGGACAGTTACTTAACGATGGCATTGGATAAAGATCGTATTATATCATAAACTGTCAGAATTTGGAAATATAGAGCATTGGATTCCGACTCAGTGGCTCAATCATAACCTGGTAGTCACGCAACCTATAAGTCTTGGATTCAATCCCTGAGGTAGAGTAGTTATGGATGAGCACTGTTAAAGGAAACACATTAAAAGTTCTATCCTTGAACATTTAATCAATTTCAACAATTCAACCAACCTCAAAGAATGGCTTTAAAGTTATTTATTTCATGTTTTCTCTGTTTACAACCTCTAAAAATAGACGAGGTTTTGGCTAACAATGAACTAGGGCTTAAACTTTGTGTTTAGAAGAAGTACGTACAATCTTTGACTCTATCTTGACCTTAATTTCGTCTTGGTTTGCTTCGTTTCATTCTTTTTCAACTTTTCAGTTTGTTAGATTAATCTTCCTACTCTTACATCGTTATTATTAGTACGATTACGTTTACATTTGATTGTTTATGGAGTTACATCATTTAATCTTCTCAGTAATTCCTACGTTTAACGAAAGATATTTTCATTTCATTTCATTTAACTTATCTTATTCATATTAACTAATGGTGTGTCAGTTTATTAACTCTACAATGTATATTCTCATACCCCTTTGTAATCTATATGGACCCTATGAACGATTTAAAAATCTTACGTAATTCCGTTACTGTTAACATTTAACCTTTACGTTATCGAATAGCAATCCTAAATTCCACTTTCTAGACGTAATGTTAAAGAGAAGGGATGATGGCTCAATTCAAAGGTCAGTCTATCAAAAACCAACTTGGACCGGTCAGTTCACTAACTTTAATAGATGGGTACCTCTTCGGTGTGAGAGAAATCTCATTCACTCACTGTGTTCCAGAATCCATGGAATATGTTCAGAAGGTATGATAGATGCTGAAATCGAAACACTTAGAATAATACCATCTAATAACGGATACCCTGAAAGATTTATTGATAAGAATCTGAAGAAACGAACCACTCCCCATCTCATTACAATCCATCAGAAAATTTCAACCATGAATCTCGAACTCAAAGGAGACACCACAGCCAAAGTGCTGAAAAGTCGTCTATCAAGATGTATCAATAGTAGCTTCTATGCTACTAGACTGAGATTGATATTCTCCAGCCGCCGTCTGATTCGTCAATGCGTGAAGGATAGGCTTCCACTTATGTCCATATCTATGTGTGTATCTACAAGTTCACATAGTCCTGTGGAGCTGACTGTATTGGACGTTGTAAGCGGGCCCTCCGAAAACGTGTTGCTCAATACTACCCGGTTTAGCTTACCAGAGGCGAGCAAAGGAAAACGACTTCATTCATATGTGAACACCTTGTTGAACTAGGTCATTCAGCACCTTGAGATTCATCCTTTAAAATAATTTACAAACTTAAATTGAACTGCTCCTAAGGTTTACGTTTCCACCATTTATGCGTATAGCTGAAGCATCAGCTATACGTGAACAAAAGCCGAAACTTTGTATGTAAAAAGTTTTGTGAAACCACTTTTCACTTCATTGAAAACATTTAACCCATATTTCACTAGTTATTATCAATTCATTCCTTATTCATTGACCTATTTTACACGTTTCAGCTTAATTATCACCGTTTTACAATTCTTTGACAACACTTGTCTCTTATCTCATAACTTATTACCATGTTGTCCCTCCTTATTCAGTGATCCATTTTCTATCACTTCCACTTGAACAAATATCACCACCTCCACCAATTGTATATTTTGTATATTGACTGAACAAGTCTTTTTTTAGTGCAATCATCTGTCACTTTACCGAGTATAAATGCGACTGCTGTACAACTTGATAATGAAGTCGTTGAAAAGAAATACTTCTTCTTAGCTGATACGTGTCTTGTTCTTGTTAATGAATAAATAGGTATATTTCGTCAATCCTAGATTCCACTGTTAGCCACTAACCATCATTACTATAATTAGCACACAGGTAATATCGAGGCATTTGAACAGGAACCTATATTGCCAATGGAGATCGATTAATTCGGTCCAATCAATGATGGTATAATACAAGCAATTACACTAAAAACTATACCGGTCACACAGGAAGTGATTATCGTGGTTCGGTGGTGTAGTGGATAACGCTTTTTGGTATTTGAAGTGATCGATCCAGAGTCCGAATTTCAGTGGGAACAACATCACTTATTGGGAGGCAGGTACATCCAGTTGACGAGTCCCGAGTAGGACGAAATACCTATCCTGGATTCCACTGCTAGACATTATCCATAATTACTATAAATAGCAACACTGTTTATAACTATGACCACCATTATTGTTATCTCATTTTCCCCTCTTACTTAAATTTAATTTTCTTAACAGATCACAATGTTTAGATATCATGGACGTTTATATAAACGTACAGCTGAAGAATAAATTCGTTGAAAAGAGTCTTCTTCGCTGAACATCGTGTTTTTGATGTCAAAATGAAAATTATTAATCTATATATTATTTAAAAAAATAAGTAATAATGAAGTTTTTAGAAAAAGGAAAACGTACGCGGTTTCAATTTATCATTATTCGATATACTAGAGGAGACTCTTCGAGCTGCTAATCGTTCCAAGGCTAAACGTTTGTTTTTTTCAGCTCTTGACTCAGAACTATACGATGTGGATGCTTGTGGTAATTGTAAACTAGAATTATCAGCTAGATCAACAGTATTCTTATAGTCTGTAGAGTGTAATCCATTGAAAACATCATTCGGATTAGACGAAGTATTTGTTGTATTGAATGTATTCTAAAAAGCAATGGAAGTAAAAAAGAAATATAAACGGGTATAGCAAACAAACTACAGATATTCATCAACAACTACCTACGATGGCTCCTTACTGAAGATCAGATGGCCGTAGAGAATAAGCAACAAGGAACTCTGGTGACGAACCTATCAAGAACCTATCGCTAAACAAATATGCAGAAGTGGAGATGGATTGGGCTGGGCATGTACTGAGAAGATCATTCGAGAATATTACGCGCCAGGCCAGGCACTCAAGTGGGACCCAGATGGGAAACAGTGAGTTAGGCATCTGAGGTGAGGGTGACATGGAGGAGATGGTGTGAGAAAGAAATGACAGCTTGCGGGCAGTTGTGAAACTAGGTTGACAAGACTGTAGAGAACAGAGTGGAATGGAGAAGTGCTACTGAAGCCCTATGTTCTACTAGTAACTCAAGGGACAAATAATAATAATAATATTAATAATTGTGGCTTGGAACAGCAGCAACTCGTTCATTTCAAATTGTTTTTACAAGAATTTTATTTAATAGGGAGTAACTTAAGTGGTTATCGGAAAGGCATCATTTAATCTGGTGATAACTCTTACATAAACCGAATCCTGAACTCCTTATACATCCACAAAATTTCATAGGTCACATTTTTCTTTACAAAGAAGAGTAAAGAGTATTAATTTCGTGTTATCATCATCATCATTATCAACATAGGACCAGGCATTACTGCCTAACGGTCCGAGTTGCCACAACTCACGTCAGTTCATCAAGTAGAAAGGTTGTGAGGTGAAGGATGAAGATAAGTGAATGCAGTCAAAAGAAATATAAAGTACGAGAAGAAAGGAAAGAGGAGTGACAAAATGGTGAGATTCGGTATAGCGTTGTTAAGATGAGGATAATGTGTGTATATATTTGTGCCACTGACATCGGTTCTGAGCCATATCACCTAGGGTCTCCAACCACTGGTTCCTCTTGTCCCGTGGACCCCAATCACCTAGTCTGCATCGTCCTACATGGCTTAAACCAACAGTCAGAGACTTCATACATTGGTCCCGACCGATAGCTGCTACCTTGACGTGGTGGTCGGGCTTGCATATCACAATGACCCAACCAGCTATGCTGGTGGAACACTTGTTCCCTCGAGGTCCTACCATACCAGAAAGGTCTGTTGGATAGTGGTTAGACGAAAAGCAGTTACCATTATAGTGTAAACTGCTACACTATGATGGGGGTCTGAAGGCGAAGTCGTACTGCTGCTAGCTGGATGGGGTGTGACAGCAGTAAGGTGTTTCCCTTCGATGACCAACAGTGCCATGCTGATGCTGCCTTCTCAGTGGAAGGGGGGGGGGTTAGAAAAGGTCGGCCCCAAAAATAACACACTCCACCATGCCCCACGGTTTGCCGGGCCGGCGGTGTTGGTTCACTTGTCGTTTACTTTCGACTAACCGGCCCCATAAATACAAAAGTTCAAAATAATCATACTCAAAAGTCTTCGTGTGACAGGCCTCAAGCAGATGTCCGATGGGCTCTGCAGTCAAACAAATCTCTTTCAGGTACCTTAAGAAGACATAGCCTTCTACGGTGTGGGCAGCTGGGAAGTTTCAACCGCCCTCACAACTCTGTCAGCATTCAAGTTTCTTCTAACTGCTATCCACCTCCTCCATCATTAATTTCGTATAGTATTAAATTCATTGTATTTCTCACCTTATAATTTTTACACTTTATTCAGATATTTTAAGTAAACTATTCTATTAAGATACTAAGTTGTGGCAACTGTTCTCATTTGCACTATATATATATAAATGAAAAGTAATTTATAAAGCTAAAGATATCTAATCAAAAATAAATCAAATTTGTATACCTTAGGAATAGATTCTATAACATTTTTCCATAATAATTCTGGATCTTTTTCTTCTGATACACTATCATCTTCTGATGTTTCTAATTTTTCTTCAATTGTAGCATATGGTGGCCATATACCATCACGAAGTCGATGTAATGCAACACGTATTTCACGTTTATTTCCAACATTCTCTAAACGTTCAACAACTTCAGAAAAATTTAATCTTGGCACTAAACGATTAGCCCATGCTTCGTAGATAAATAATAACTTATCTAAATCTTGAAACTTGAATTTTACACAAAGAAAGAAAGATAAACAAAAAAAATACAAGTTTCAGTATAGTTAATAATCAAGATATTTCTTAAAAGTAAAATGTATATCTGACAGTCTCTCAAGACAGAATTGAAGATGATCAGATTCAACAGTAATAGACTAAATTCTAATAATCAAGCGATAGTAACATGTCATAAATTCACATAGTAGTCGGGTAAAACCCTTGATGACTGAAATGAAATAAAATTCTGGTTAACAATCGGATCTTATAGATTAGTTAGTAGAGGATTGGACCAGTAACTCAGTGGTCGCTGGTTCGAATCCGGCCGCGGTCCAGATTTTCATATCACCTTTAATCATCACTCAATAGATTTATGGACATTTCTCTATAGATCAATAAACCAAAACGAAATATAACCATGTGCATATTTATTACGTAACAGTTAATGATACTACCTGGCTTCCAAAACCCATGCAGTTGGAGCAGGGTTCTGACAATATAGAGGCATATGCATAGGAACCAATCTGTCAACAGAGGTCAGTCGATTCAATCCAGTATAAAAACAGAGAATCACATGTATATCAATAAATAATAATAATAACTGGCCCTTTTTGTACAAGAGGTGTCTGTCCTGCCTCAGTGGCATAGTGGATAACGCTCTTGATGTGGGGATAGAGAGAAAAGACTAGTCTGTAAAGGAACCAATCAAAATGTACTTTAGGTTATCGCGTCTACAGTTAGACAGGTAGATGATGGATCAACCAATCAACAGTATTATTTTAAACAGCAAAATATCTATATATTAGGTGTATTTTCTTTTATTCTTCGGTCGTTCGACCACAATACACATTTCTACGCATCCATTGTGTCGTTTCCATTAATTAGTCGGGGTTGTATCGGGAGTCAACTAGGAATTTGGTGAATCTTGGTGACTGACAGTTGATATCCGTGCATTGTTAGCGGCCATAGCACATAGCACTTTCCAAATCATAACAGCTCTGAAGTTTGAAGTGATGTGTATATGATTTGAGTCTCAGTTGATGAGTCTTTAACAGGACGAAACAAGCATTTTGGCTTCCACCACTAACCACACTTTATTAACAAATAGTAGATTTGAGTAAGACTTATCTTAATTATGACATTTATTAGAGTGTGCAGTAACATCACCAATCACCGGTTGGTCATAGAAGTTCTAGTTAGTTAGACTATGAACTAAATATATGCAAGTTGTTCCAAGATCTTCAAACACCCGACTGGGGATAGGGAAGATAGAAGTAGTAACAATAAGATTGGCATTAGATCTAGTTATGAATTTCTACACTATTCTGGATTCAAACATGTAGTGTTTATCAGTTGACTTCATAACTTTGTGAGTAGTGGTGCACTTCAATGGGACACTTGGGAGTATTTCCTTGTTTATTTTCAAATTGTTCGTTTAGTAGAATATACATAATCGTACTTATATGAGTAGGCACGTAGAGAATATGGAAAGACTTCTCGTGTTTGACCGCCATGTGTCATGATGTCACTACGTCAGTGACATAGAAGTCAAACGTAGAGTTTTACTAAGGAGAAGAAAGTTAACTGATGTTGTTGTGAACCATTTATGGACTCAGATAACTGGGACGGGTGCTACGCATGCCAAGTCATTATCTGTCTCGTCACTCAATGTTAGCTTAAGGCGGGTAGACTAAAACATGACATCAATGTATGAAATCCTTGCTAATTGATCTGAGCTATATTAAAAGATACAAACTGGCTAGTTGATAACAGAAACCAGTAGTTGAAGACTCTAGGGGAAATACCTCAGAGTTGATGTCAGTGGTATAGATTTACTGCTTTTGATTAAGTTTCCTTCTTATGAAGTTAGTCACATTGAATGGATAAAACATAAACTTTTTGCCAAGAAACGAATTCAAATTGATTAATAATTGGATTTGGGAACACTTAATTAATTCTCACTATATAGCTGGATCACAGTTTACCTTCATAATTATATAAAAAGCCAAAGTAAGGACTTTGAAAGAAGTGCGCATTAAAGGCAATCAGTTCAAGTCAAATCTCTGTGTGCAGTAAACATATGTTCAATTCTTCAGCCTTTCAAAGTCAAAACTACTTTTTTTTCTTTTCTATTTGGTTTCTGAGTGTTGATCTGAGTCATGTTAAGAGGTGTAGACTACCTGGATGGAGTCCCTGAGATGATCGAAATCAGTGGTTGAGGACAGTTAGTGAAATGGCTGGAAATTGATTACAATAGCGCAAATATATTCACTCCTCAGAACCTTCTTAAATATTTGCGCTAACCGTTACCATTAAATGTCAGTCTTTTTCTATCTGTCTATTCTTTGTATACTACTGTGAAGTGTATTAACTTGAACCTATGAACTTGTGTGCGAGGTTATATGTTGATTCTATCTGTTGTTGACGTTCGTTAAAGCAAGGCGTATCATCAAATTCGATGAATTGGATATGTTGACTTGAATCGCGATAAGAATAATGAATCATCAATGAGTTGGTCTTGGTTGACCACTTCAAAAAACTCTTGAATCGACCACCACCACCATCACCACCGCAAACTGAAACTCATCCGTTCAGAAGTACCACCGGCAACCAAGCCACAGAACTGTTCAGTGAACACAAACCCTAGGACAATGGCAGAAGTGAAATCATGAACGTCGTAAGTTTTCTGAAAGCCCTGAAAACAGCACGACCAGCTGAGATTCCTCCAAAAACACTGAAAACAGACGCAGAGACAACAGCGGACATGCTCATACCATTTACATTGCAGAAAACTTGCAAGGAAGGAGAGAAAGGTACCTGAGGATCGACTAGAAGAAGAGCTACCTTGTCAAATTCCCAAAGAAGCGAGATCTAAGTTTTTGCAAGAACTGGCGAGGAATCATGTTCCTGTCCACACCAAGCAAAATACAAGGCCACATCATCGTGGAGAGACTGATAAATGCTCTGGATTCAAAACTAAAACCCCAATAGGCTGACTTCAGGAAATACAAATCATGTGCACATCAAATTGCAACGCTACACATCACCACAGAACAGAGCACAGAATGGCAGTCAACTCTCTACCTCAACTTCATCAACTTTGAAAAAGCCTTCGATAGCGTCGACCGATAAATAATTTGGCAGCTGCTGCTTCAATACTTCAAACCTTTATCAACCTTATTCAACAGCTATATGCTATGCAATATGAGGATGCTACATGCGAAGTGATTCATGATGGAAAGCTCAATGATCCCTTTGAAGTGAAATGAAGACAGGAGTAAGACAAGGTTGCCGACTACCATCACCGATTATTTTCCTGAATGTGGTCGACTGGATCATGTAAAAAAAAGGTGAGCAGCGAGAAGATGGACATACGCTGTTTGACCGGTGAAAATAACCCACAAGAAGATTTGAATTTCGCCAATGATGATTTCTGTCTAATGTCGCACAAACTCGAAGGTCATTAGACAAAAACTAACAAGTTGATGGAAGAGGCAGAGCAGAGAAGATGGGACTTCAAGTGAATGTAGCGAAGACGGAGGTGATGAAGATACCCAACCAACAACAAGCATCAATCACCATGAACGGCAGAAATCTAAAGGAAGTTGTTTCTTTCAACTACCTAGTCAAGGCAGCATCGTGCTAACTACAGGCGACACAGATGAGGACATCAAAGCCAGGTAGCGAAAAACAAAGACAGGCATTCCTGCATTAATCTGAAATCAGTGTGGAGATCTACTGCAGTCAGCACAAAGAACAACATCCGAATTTTTAACGCAAATCCAGTCAAGTCAGTGCTGCTATATGGTTCATGAAAAGCACTTCCAACAAACTACAGACACAGCATCAACAGCTGCCTACGATGGCTCGATACTGAAGATCAGATGGCCAAAAAGAATAAGCAACAAGGAACTCTGGCAACGAACCTACCAAGAACCTATCGCTAAACAAATATGCAGAAGGAAGCGGAAATGGATTGGACATGCACTGAGAAGACCATTTGAAGACATCACGCGCCAGACCTTCGAGTGGAACCCCGATGGGAAGCGACGAGTTGGGCGTCCGAGGTCAGGGTGACATGGAGGAGATGGTGTGAGGAACGAATGAAAGCTTGTGGGCAGTCGTGGAGCCAGATTGACAAGACTGTAGAGAACAGAGTGAAATGGTGACGTGCTACTGAAGCTCTATATTCCATTGAGAACCCAGAGGACAAATAATAATGATAAAACTGAGTTGGTAAACATAAAGTTAGAGTTGCCATTTGAATGATTATTAACTTGGAATATAAAAAAAAACATAACGAGAAAGTATACAGAGTAATAGGATGAGAATTATACCCTACCTCGTGACCTTTGCCACGAAATTTAACCTTCTTGAAGTCTTCAAGTAAAGCAGGCAGGCCTTTATTACTCAACAATCTAAATGAAATGAAATTAGATTAAATAAGACAATTAAAAAGGCATACAGTGTACTTTACTATCAATACAAAAGATGAATAACTTTGAAAAGTAATCGATTACATGTTTCATTATTTTGTCTGGTAAGATAATGTTTGTGTAAACGAAAAACTGAATTGATTCTTTAAATAACTACCAAATACACTTTTTTATGCAGTAGGCAGTTAGTCACATTTATTGTGTGAGAGGCTGACCACTCAAACCTCGATAGGTCGGGTGGGGATTAAACTGATGACACAGTGCATAGAAGTTTACTGTTTAAACCAATCAGTGATAGCTCCTAGCAGTTAATGGTTATCTAAATGACTGCCACAGTGATCTTAAAAGTCATATGAATGAGATGAGAGTAGTCAGTGATTGTTTATCTGAAGGATCAGTTTAGTTAGAAGTTAAATTATACACTAAATGAAATGATAATTCGGTCATTGAGTTATGATTTAATGGTGAATACTAGGAGAATACGCTTCTCCTTTATTTCATTACACCATGAAGACTTTACTACCTCTTCAAGATGATCAATGAATAAGTTGGTTGGAGACAATCGATACGGCTGACTGCTTAATCATTCAGTGGTGGCATCTTTGAGCATTGCATAACGCAGATTCAAATCCCTCAGAGGATATCAGTTCCCTCATTGTTTCGAATATACCTTAGTGACGAGTGACAATAAGCATGGAACCTAGATCAAGAAGAATTTTCTCCTGATAGCCTCCAACTAAATATCACCTATCAAAGTGGATCGCGATGATAAATCTCCTAGTTTGGTGACCAACATTGTACAATGACCAATAGAATTCAATCAGCACTCAGGCTTAGACGACAACATGAAATTCGTTGCTCTTCAGCAATCAAGCAATATATGTAATCCAGTCTCACATGAGACTCAATAAAAGTTGATACTAGATGATGATTGAAGGAAAAATGACAATTTGGATTGCGGCAGGATTCGAACCAATGACCACAGGGTTTTCAAAACCGTGCGATCTACCACCAAATCAGTACCAGTAGTTAAACTGAGAGTTCTAACTGTAACCAAGGTGTTGCTATTCTGTAGCTGGAAGAAGTGATTAGTAATAAAGGTTTGACAACTGAAAACTTTGAAAAGAAAAATATTTATATATCCCCCTCTTCTATGACTCAGAATCGAGGTGAGTAACGCAGAGTAACGCATTATCTTCAACTTAATCATGATGAAAGAAAACGGCAAAGGATAAAATACAGAAGGATGTTTGTTACGACACTTTGTACACTACTGATGAAATATCATAACCTTGCCGTTGAAATATCCATTTGTACAGTATGTTTCCTTTCCTCTTCTTTTGCTCTTGATGCGCCTATTGTTTGCGCTTCTATGGGTAGAATATTTACTTATTACTCGTAATCCCCTATGTTTTATTCCGATCTGTTAACGTATACTACTTATATGTATTATTATCAGTAGCACCCACAACAATCATAGTGAATTTAATTCAGCATTGCCTCAACTGGCTTCAATCTCTTTTGACCAATTTCTAAATATTTATATCGATGAATTCTAGCGAGATGTGGAGGTTAAGTGGGGCAACATGAAATGTTGTTATGTCAAGTTGCTGAAGAAATCTCAGATAGGAAACAGAAGACTCGTTTGGCATTTACCAACTTACATCACTTGTGGGGTCGACTAGATAGCCGACTATCTAAAGAAGAACGAGTATACTGAGCTGCTGTAGTACGATTTGTCCTATTATATAGCTGTGAGTGATAGTCTTTAAAAGTAGAATATATATGAAACGGTCATAGGTGTCTCTGTAGCATTGCTCACGTTTGGTAGAATCACCGTGTAAGCAACGTTGAAGTCAGTCGAAGGGTACTAGGCATGACAGACAAGTCGATTAGTGAGGTTGTGAACCGTAGTCGATTGAGATAGCTTGAACATGTACTACACATGGCGAGCCATTGTCTTCTTCGACGTGCCACGTTGGGTGAAGTTGGATTATATTCAGGGTGACCAAACTAAGATATGATACCAATTGATGAGGTCTCTTACTGTTGGTTTGAGTTGTGTGGGGCATTATAAACTGTATGGTTGTGTTAAGGATGTCTATATCTCTTATATTCCATACCTACAATTCTTATATATTTGAACTGGTTTATTCACTCTCTTTTCCAGCACATTTCGTATGACCCACTATTGTTCTGATTGGCTCCCGTCTCTTTTAACGTACTAACTATTCCTTGTCTTTCAAGGTTATTGTAAACTCTATGAGTAAGATCCATTTTCACTCATAAACGTTTTCAGTCCGAGATACTATAAACTCATGTGATTTCCAGTCTTTTGATTTCTTTTTGCGAATCACTCGAGTCGAATCATCTCAATCCTCGACTACCAATCGTCAAGTATTTCCGTTCGTTCTCACAACTCCGCATTATAACAGTATTCAGTTTGTATAAATGAGCGGATGTTTCATCATAACGAAGGAATCTTCAGCAGAACGCAATCACAGTTGTTCGAAATGTAGTGCACAAATAAATCATATTACTAAGATAGAGTAAATGGTCTTGGTTGTATTGTGTTCTCTGAGCTGGGTTGTTTAATAGTGAAAAATATGGAACGCTTCACGATTTTGCATGTACTCGCTTCGGTGGTGCATATACTAAAATTAGCACGATACAGAGATAAGCATAGCCCTTACACAGGGATGGCATGAAAAATTGTGAAGCGTTCCATATTTCTCACGACTACACAAGCCAGCTTAGAGAACACAATATAACCAAAATATTACTAAGATATAATCCATCTTCTAATTAACAATCCTTATTTTTGTCCTTTGAGTGCCCAGTGGAACATAGGGCTTCACTTGCACGTCTCCATTCCACTCACTTCTCTGAAATCTTTTAAACCTGGCTCCACGACAGCCCACAAGCTCTCGTCTCCTCCTCCCACGGTCTCCTCCATGTCACCCTCACCTCGGACACCCAACTCGTCACTTCCCATCAGGGTCCCAATCGAGCAACTGGCCTGACACGTGATGTCCCCAGTCGGCCTAATCAGTGTATGCCCAATCCGATCCATCTCCACTTCCCTTCAGTGCATGTTTGTTGAGCGATAGGTTCTCGGTTGTTTCGTTACCACTCAGGCCAAAGTTCCTTGTTGCTTATTCTCATTATTCTGGCCATCTGATCTTCAGTAGGGAGCCAGCGTGGGCAGTTGTTGATGAATGTGTGTAGTTTGTTGGAAATACCTTTCGTAATGCGCCAAGTCTCTCAACCATCACATGGAAGCACTGACTTGACTTGACTGGATTGGTGTTGAAAATCCGGATGTTGTTCATGCTTAATGATGAGTGAAGTGCAGTGTAGTAGATCTCCACACTGACATCCTCGTCTGTGTCGCCACCTGTAGTTGGGACGATTCTGCCTAGATAGGTGAAAGAGGCTACTTCCTTTTAGTTTCCCCCATTGATGGTGATTGGAGCGTGTTGTTGTTGATGCTGTTGTTGGTTGGGTATCATCATCACCTCTGTCTTCTCTACGTTCACTTGAAGTCCCGTCTTCGCTGCTCTGCCTCACCTCTTCTGTCAACTTGTTAGTTTTCACCTGTAGATCTTCAAGTTTGTGTGACATTAGACACAAGTTATCGGTGAAATCCAAGTCTTGTAGGTTGTTTTCCGCGGTCCAGCCAGCGTATCACCCTCTTCTCGCTCCTCACTGCTGGTTGCATGATGCAGTCCACTACAATCAGGAATATCATTGGTGTTAGTAGGCAGCTTTGTTTCACTCCTGTCGTCACCTCAAAAGCATCAATGAGCTTCCCATTGTGAATTACTTGGCCTGTGGCGTCTTCATGTAGTTGTTGAATGAGGTTGATAAAGGTTATCTTCTAATTATACCATCGAAATTTATGAAAGGCAGTAATTGCTTAAATTTCATATTCAAGCGGCTGAACAGTTGATAAAATATAAAACAAGAAATGTAACGGGAAAAAAAGTTATAAACAGCTTACCTTTGTGGATCTAACTTTGGACGAGGATTTTTGACAACCCGTTTAGCTGCCCCCTTAGACATTTTACGTAATCTTTCCAAAACATCAATGTCCACTGCATCTTAAGATTTAAAAAAAAAACGAACAAAGAAATAGTCACAATATCGAATAAAGATTCACAATCTACAAGTTGAGAAACACAGATAGATAAAAACGACGTAGAACCTCACACACAAGTCCATCGGTTCAAGTTGACGAGGTAAGCGCAAATATTCAAGCTTCAGAAGAATTGAATACATTTTCGGAGTCATTATGAACGATTTTCAGCCATGTCATAATAAGTCCTAAACCACTGATTTCTCTCGTCACAAGGACCTCAACCTGTTGTAATGCGGAGTTGTGAGAACGAACGGAAATACTTGACGATTGGTAGTCGAGGATTGAGATGATTCGACTCGAGTGATTCGCAAAAAGAAATCAAAAGACTGGAAATCACATGAGTTTATAGTATCTCGGACTGAAAACGTTTATGAGTGAAAATGGATCTTACTCATAGAGTTTACAATAACCTTGAAAGACAAGGAATAGTTAGTACGTTAAAAGAGACGGGAGCCAATCAGAACAATAGTGGGTCATACGAAATGTGCTGGAAAAGAGAGTGAATAAACCAGTTCAAATATATAAGAATTGTAGGTATGGAATATAAGAGATATAGACATCCTTAACACAACCATACAGTTTATAATGCCCCACACAACTCAAACCAACAGTAAGAGACCTCATCAATTGGTATCATATCTTAGTTTGGTCACCCTGAATATAATCCAACTTCACCCAACGTGGCACGTCGAAGAAGACAATGGCTCGCCATGTGTAGTACATGTTCAAGCTATCTCAATCGACTACGGTTCACAACCTCACTAATCGACTTGTCTGTCATGCCTAGTACCCTTCGACTGACTTCAACGTTGCTTACACGGTGATTCTACCAAACGTGAGCAATGCTTTAAAGATACTTGTGACAGGAACTCTGTGACCACTTTTAACGGTCATATCTGACAGTCGTATCACAGGACAAAACGGACTGCAGTGCGATATATTTGTCCTTTGTAAACAGTCGGATATCTCGCCAGTGCCACGGATGAAGCACGTTGGCACATACGAAACGGGCCTTGTGTCTTTAAGTTCATTGCTATGAAAGATATAACAATCCCTGTTCTATAAATTATAAGCTTTGATTCTATTTAATATTTCCTCTGTCATAGTAACTAACTGACCAACCGAATGACGTGTGCAGAATTGATTTATTCCGAAACCAGGAAAGATGCAAAGATGATTCCACTACACTTCCAAATAGCCTAAACTGAAAAATGTGGATCATTGATATTCAATTGAATCAACGTTAAATTGCTTTTATGATTTTCGAAAGTCTTAGGGCTTTATTCTATATAAGACTCATTACTTCCCGATGATAACAATTCGTGGTGAATACCACTGACGAAACTAAAATGTAATGAATCCAAGCAAAGAGATAATAATTAACCAAAGTTTTAGTAACATATGCATATAAATGAACAAACAAACTGATGAATGAAACTAAACTTGCTTAGCTTACCATCGTCGACACCGGGAAGCGGTTCATGAATATTATCAGCATCGTCTCCTATACGTGTTTCACGTCTATTATTGGGTGAGTGAGCACGTCGTTTGACGCTTTGTTTCAAATTACCATTGCCATGACGTTTGTTACTTGACTGGGCGTAGTTAAGTTCATCGTCAACCTCAGAATATGCTTCATTTTCTGTAATATCATTAGACTCGCGTTCTGATTCATAACTGAGATTTCTTTCGTCATCATCATCGGATGATGATGACGGAGATTCATCAACTCGTGGAATTCTAGTTGATTGTTCAACCATTGAAATAGACGAAGGTAAACAAGTGACAGAAGTTGACATATCAAGATCGGTATATTCATTTTCTTTATCACTTTTATCGTCATCAAAAATGCGTAAACGATGTCTCGGTTTATCCACATTTGGTAGATTACCCACATCAGAATCATTTAACTCTGAAATACGTGTACTACTTAATACACGTGAGGCAGATATTTTATGCGATATATCTTTGGAATCCTGTAATGAATATGTAACCGGAAAAAAACACTATGTGAATAATAAAAAAGCATAAAAAGGCAAGGTACAAAAAAACAAAATGTATTTCCGTCTAGTAGTTAAAGAATTTTGACAGTAAGACATCAATATCCACTGCAATCGACATATTGGTAGTTGAAGGTTACAATGTACAGATGATCACCATGTTGAAGATTACTAGAAAAGTCAATTTCAAACCAAGAAAGAACCAAATAGATTGACTAGTCAAAGTGACAAAGGCTTCATTATCATAAGAGTAAAACTGGGGAAATATGGTCAGTTTTAATTTCATTTCAGTCTGTTTATTAGAAATATTATACAGTGAAGGAACAGACACAATCCATTATCCATATTCATATTCGATCAGATAATTTCACAGTTTTGAAACATCCTTTATATAGTCCTAATTTTCTCTATTTCCTTGTGATGACAAGGGTAGTAGAATTTTCCATATATCTGGAACAAGTGTAGAATCATTTCCGTTACTGCATGTATTTAGTGTTGATTCGGTAAAAAAAGATTCGGTCATCAATCTCTCCCTCCCTCCACCCAACTAAGTTAGTTTTCAATACTGTAGCTCTATCCTACCCAACTGTGTGATTATGTGTCATCGCATGCAGAGTTATAGCCGATCTTTTCCCTAGATTTCTTATCTTATTAGGATCCACTAATCTTGGTTTAGCTAAGTTTTTGTGCTCTATTATTCTAACCGACAAAGGCTTCACTTAAATACGAAACAATCAATCACTTTGATGAATTTGTAATAATGTGCTCACTGCTGAGGAGTCCCATAGTAGTGTGACGAAACAGCTGTCCAGTGCTCACAGGTTTCCTTTGTTCCTCTAACTGGTGTTAGTCTACGATGAATAACAACTTAGAATAATGTAATAGGAAGACGGAGGTTAGCTGAGAAATGTAATGTAATTCACGTAATACATTTTGAACACAAATACACATTTGGTCATACATTTACTCCTAATAGCATTTTACGTGAAGGATGAAAATACAATAGGATACGATAAAGTAATTAACATAATACAAGATTTGGAAAATATAGGGATAATAGAAGTGAGACAAAGATTAGTAAAGTAGTTCCATATTAGATTGTTTAATCGATAAGGCATAGTGTAATTTCTTGGTTGTATTGTGTTTTCTGAGCTGGGTTGTTTATTCGTGGGGCTTTCATCGTCTTTCTAGAAAGCGACATCATCAGCACTAACTTCAGTATGAAGTGAGCTATCAATATCTCTCCGTGATTGATTTAGTGGCTTGCTCTCACGGAGAGATATTGACAACTCACTTCACACTGAAGTAAGTGCTGATGATATCGTCTAACAAGATGATGAACAACCCAGCACACAGAACACAATACAACATAGACCATCCACCTGAGCTACAAATATTCTTCACTATTTTACAGTGTAATTTACTGGATAACGTTGTCAGCAAAGTTTTTTTGAACACGTCTACTCGATAATACATGCAATCCAATTCACTTATGTATTAGAAAATTTAGAAGGAGAATTATCACCGATGTTGGATTGCACAATCAAGAGGAGAGAAAGTGGAAGCATAGATATCAGTGTTTATAGGAGCTCACCTGCTTTCAAAGTGACGACAGGAGTGAAACAAGGCTGCCTACTATCACCAATGATATTCCTGATTGTAGTGGACTGCATCATGCAACCAGCAGTGAGGAGCGAGAAGAGGGTGATACGCTGGCTGGACCGCGGAAAACAACCTACAAGACTTGGATTTCACCGATAACTTGTGTCTAATGTCACACAAACTTGAAGATCTACAGGTGAAAACTAACAAGTTGACAGAAGAGGTGAGGCAGAGCAGCGAAGACGGGACTTCAAGTGAACGTAGAGAAGACAGAGGTGACGATGATACCCAACCAACAACAGCATCAACAACAACACGCTCCAATCACCATCAATGGGGGAAACTAAAAGGAAGTAGCCTCTTTCACCTATCTAGGCAGAATCGTCCCAACTACAGGTGGCGACACAGACGAGGATGTCAGTGTGGAGATCTACTACACTGCACTTCACTCATCATTAAGCATGAACAACATCCGGATTTTCAACACCAATCCAGTCAAGTCAAGTCAGTGCTTCCATGTGATGGTTGAGAGACTTGGCGCATTACGAAAGGTATTTCCAACAAACTACACACATTCATCAACAACTGCCCACGCTGGCTCCCTACTGAAGATCAGATGGCCAGAATAATGAGAATAAGCAACAAGGAACTTTGGCCTGAGTGGTAACGAAACAACCGAGAACCTATCGCTCAACAAACATGCACTGGAAGGAAGTGGAGATGGATTGGATTGGGCATACACCGATTAGGCCGACTGGAGACATCACGCGTCAGGCCAGTTGCTCGATTGGGACCCTGATGGGAAGTGACGAGTTGGGTGTCCGAGGTGAGGGTGACATGGAGGAGACCGTGGGAGGAGGAGACGAGAGCTTGTGGGCTGTCGTGGAGCCAGGTTTAAAAGATTTCAGAGAAGTGAGTGGAATGGAGACGTGCAAGTGAAGCCCTATGTTCCACTAGGCACCCAAAGGACAAATAATAATAATAATTAGTAACTTATATAAAAATCATTAATATAGGTGTAAAACTTGGGCACTGTGGTAAGATTTAATTCCATACCACATTTGTTCATTTGATATATACCTCACAGTGATACAGTATTATTCACTTCATGGCGTTTCAAGCAGACATTATCATTCCTCATCAACATCTGATGCTAACAGTCGTGTCACCTCAGATTCGCTGATTTTAATGGAAGTAAAATGTCCCATATCTCTGGTATTGGTGTTACGTCATTCCTATCAGATATGTTGGGTGACTTGATGAGCACAGAAACAGTAATTTACCTAAATTCCTATGTTCGGCTATTCTAACCGACCCTGACCAGTCGGACTAGCTTCAATTATGTACTTGACCTCGCAGTCATGACATGGAATTTGATGGATTAAATTATTTTGCTGAAATGGTTTTATCAGATCCTTAAGCCAGCCGACAAAGCTTATCACTGATCGAGTTTGTAGGTTTAAATGCTACCCTAATTCTAACTTAGTTGAGAATCCTACATAAGGTTTTGAGTTAATATTTCCTTGACTCAAAACTTACAGAACTAAAACATCGGTCGATAAGATCATATTAGGTGTACAATTGTGTCTGACCTCCACACCCTTCAAGTCTAAGGACAAAATATACAGAAAACAGGAAGAGTAGAAATGGGATAGCCAATATCCCCAATCGTAGCAGATATATTTATGGATAGTTGGGAAAACATGCCTTTACACATGCTTAATGCTGTACCAAAGATACGATGGCGATATGTAGATGACTAATTTACTCTGTTAAAATCGTAACATATCGATAATTTCCTAAGACATAATAACTCAGTAGTTGATACAATCTAATTCACTTATGAGGTGGGAAATGAACAGGGACAACTATGTATGCTGGATTGCAAGGTAAAATGAAGGACAGACGCTGGTTCTGGATACTACTGTCTACAGAAAACCGAGGCATTCCAACAGGTATCTAGACTTCAAGTCATTCCATCCAGTGTCAGTTAAGGCAGGATTAGTCAAATATCTAAATGATTGAGCTAGAAAACTGACTAGTCAGTCCAAGGACCCAAACAAGGAATTGAAACACGTAAAACAAGCACTAACAGTTCATAATTATCCTCCTCTGCAGTTTATTAGGAAATTCCTATCAACACATAAGGAACGAAAAAATTACAATAACACGAGTATGAATAATAACGACAACACGAGTAGAAAGGAGTTCATAGCCTCCATTGTCTTACCTTATAATGAAGGGACATCAGGAACTTTACGTAGTGTCCTAAACAAGGCTGGAATCAGGGTGGTATTTAAACCTACAAACTCATTCAGAGATAAGCTTCGTCGGCTGGCTTGAGGATCTGACTGAACCAATTCAACAAAATAATCTAATCAATCAAATTCCATGTGATGACTATGAGGTCAAGTACATAGGTGAAACTAGTCCGACTGTGAGGGGTCACTTAGAATAGTAGTGGAATATAGGTGTTCAGGTAAATACAGAAAGACAGACCTGAATAAGATCAATAATCCAGAAAACACTCGGTTATTGCATTGCATACATCAACACGTGACCAAATAATAGGCTGGGTAAGATGAAGCCACTGTACTCAAGCCCAACAATATAATTAGGTGGAGAAACAGATTGATTACTGAATCTTTATTCATCGAATCAACACATAACATATGTGATAGGAATGAGGCAACACGTATATCAGAGATATGGAAAATTTTACTACCAATAAAAACAAACCATATGAGGTGATATAACTATCAACATTAGATATCGATAGTTGTGTAATTACATTGATATGATTATGAGGAGTAATTTATGCTCAAAACATCATCAAGTAAACGATACTGTATAACTGTACGCTATGCATCAAATTGATTACTTACTTTGAGCTTTAGCAAACATTCAGTTTCCTGATGATCTTACATGGGTAAGCAAGGTCAGGACAGTCAGTAACAACACGAAAAATATTTCTTTTTTTATGCAATGATTCCATAATGACAAAAACCTTAAGTTTTGTACTAGTTGGACCATAATGATATTTTTTTTACCAACCTCGGCATTCCGACAATGTCATAAGTTCTTATATATTATGCATTTCATAGTTTAGTGTATAAAGATGCCTAAAATTGGCTCAATTGCATTAAAAGTTCCAATACAACTATGTTGTAGAGTTATATCAATGAAGAAACTTGCAG